GTGTATGTATGTGTGTGTATGTCTGTGGGCCACATGCATGCATGATATGACATAAACTAGACGACGAGTGGCCCGAAAGCATTTTTCATCACGTAGGAAGTCAGAGTGCGAGTTATCTGTTAAGTGTGCAGTGTGAAGTGTTAATTCGAGTGAGTTGAGGTAGTGTGTGGGTTTCTGTGCGTGTATCTATGTCCGTCTGTATATGAGTCTGCGTATGTGTGTGTGTGTTCGTGTACTACAGTCTCCAGCTCCCAGCTACTCCGCGTACTACAGTTGTACTACAAAGTCGCCAGTGCTCATCTTCCAGCTCCCCAAATACTCCGCGTACTCAAGCTGTACTACCAAGTCGCCAGTTCTCATCTGATCACTCGCCAGCTACTCCGCGTACTACAGTTGTACTACCAAGTCGCCAGTTCTCATCTTCCAGCTCCCCAGCTACTCCGCGTACTACAGTTGTACTACAAAGTCGCCAGTTCTCAGCTTCCAGCTCCACAGATTGCTCCGCGCGCTAAAGTTGTACTACAAAGTCGCCAGCTTTCTCAGCTTCCAGCTCCACAGATTGCTCCGCGTACTCCAGTTGCACTACAAAGTCGCCAGTTCACAGCTTCCAGCTCCCCAGCTACTCCGCGTACTACAATTGTACTACAACGTCGCCAGTTCTCATCTTCCAGCTCCCCAACTAGTCCGCGTACTGAAGTTGTACTACAAAGTCACCAGTTCTCATCTTCCACCTCGCCAGATACTCCGCGTACTAAAGTTGTACTACAAAGTCGCCACTCCTCATCTTCCCACTCCCCAGCTACTCCGCGCACTAACGTTGTACTACCAAGTCGCCAGTTCTCATCTTCCAGCTCCCCAGCTACTCCGCGTACTAAAGTTGTACTACGAAGTCGCCAGTTACTCCGCGTACTAAAGTTGTACTACGAAGTCGCCAGTTTTCTCAGCTTCCAGCTCCACAGATTGCTCCGCGTACTAAAGTTGTACTAGAAAGGCACAATCTCCGCAGAGCTTTGCGCGCGCACAGATTACATCGCACTCTCGCCTGCATCTCGCGCACTCGACGCGCACGATCTCCGCAGAGGGTTGCGCGCGCGCGCCGCACCAATCGCACTCTCGCCTGCATTTCGTGCACTGTGTATAGCCGTCGCCGAAAATGGAGGCGTGTTGCCAAAGTGCGTATATCTGTTGCCGAAAACGACCGTGCAGGTGCAGAGCGCACTGTTGCCGAAAACGTCGCCGAAAACGAAGGTGGAGGTTGCCACAGTGTGTATAACTGTGACCGAAAACGGAGGTGGAGGTTGCCAAATCGTGCTAAAAACGAAGGCGGAGGTTGCCAAAGTGTGTAACTGTCGCTGAAAGCGAGGGAGCAGGTTCCAGGAGGTTCATGAGAACTGTTCAAATCTGTGCACTTGGTAGTCCAAATATTGCGTGGGAAGGAGCGTGGCACGGTGGAATGTGCATGTGCGCGAGCCCGTGCCATTGGGGGAAGGGAAAGACGCTGGTGTAAATTCGGCGCGTCGCTGGGGAGCGGGATGATCGGCGGCGCCGACGAAGCTTAGTTTTACATTGTCGTATCTAGTCTGCTGCGCATTCCGGATGTGATGTCGCATGCGGTTTTGTGCGACCACGACGGATTTTGCGTTAGTGTGAGTCCGCGCCATTTTGAGAAGGGAAGCGCGTACGCTGGTGTAAATTCGGCGTGTCGCTGTAGGGAGCGGGATGATTGGCGTTGTCGGCGGCGTCCACGATCTCAGCTTACTATACATCAACTCTAGAAACGCGCTTGTCGCGAAAGGTATACCTCGGCTACCTGAGTTCTCTTTGCTTCAGTAAAATGATGGGGTGGTGGGATCTTCTTGCGTGTGATTTCGAGTGTTAATTCTTTCAATGTCCGGGGGGCCCTTCGACTCCACCCTGCGCCGCTCAGAATTTAGAAGTGATCTGGCTTATCGACTGCGGTCTATTGTGGTCTATTGCTGGTTGCTGGTTGCCACTAGTTGCTGCTGCTGGTTGCTGGTGTTGCTGCTGCTGCTGCTGCTGCTGATCTTGCTAGTTGCTGCTGCAGGTGCTTGAACCCTGAAGCCGCTGCTGCTGCTCGTTGCTTTGCTGTGCTGCAGCTGCTGCTTGCCACATGCTGCTGCTGCTTTCTGCTTTGCTGTGCTGCTGCTGCTGCTGCTGCTTGATGCTTTGCTGCGCTGCAGCTGCTGTTTTGCTGTTGCTGCCGCTGCTGCCACTGCTGCCGCTGCCGCCGCCGCTGCTGCTGCTCGTCTGGTTTGCTGCTGCTGCCGCTGGCTGCTAGCAGGGAATCTTCCAACCTCTACCTTTCGTCCACCTCCGTCGCTGCAAGTATAGTATGTTGTAGCATACAGGCAAATTTACACAGCTATAAAGTTCGCAGATGCATTTATACATATCTGTTACTTCTACACGCCATCCGTCGTCTAATTGTAGAGCAGAGGAGGCGCAAAATTCTAGAAACTAGGGTTTCCCAAGACCTTGGCAAAGCAAAGAAACCACCGCATCCAATAATCATTGTCCAGAAAAAGATGAGGCAAACTATAGCAAACTACAGCGCCCAAACATTTAGTGGAGCAAAGAAGGAACGAGCATTCATTCATTCACAACTGCTCCAACAAATTGCGGCGCAAAGAAGGCTACAAATTCCAACAACTACTGCTCCCAAAAAGAATGGTGCAAAGAAATCGTCTCAAATGAAACTGTTGCTCCCAAAAAACGTTACTCAAGCAAAAGGGCATCCATTCAACAACCTACTGTTCCACAACGATTGGTGAAACGACGCGACACACCGCCACATTGACAGGTTTGCTGCTCCACTTAGACTTATGCGGCAACAAAGCGAAGAAGGCGCCGCATTCAAAAACTACATTTCCAGGACACAGTGACGTGATGAAGGCGCTGCGCGCAATAAAGTACTGCCTCTAGAAAAAGCGGCGCAGCAAAGAAAGCACCAAGTTCCAAAAACTTTGAACGAAGAAGCGCCCCCCTTTTTAATGAACTATTGGTCCCATTTTCCCTTTTGGAAGCGCAAAGCGAAGGCGCCACGCTCAACTTCTCCTGCTCAAAAATAGGATGAAGCGCAGAAAGCGCAAACTTTAGCAGGCCGCTCTTCAATAAAGGTGGCGGCGCAAAGAAAGCGCTAAATTCAATAGATTATCGTTTCAATTAAGAAGCGCCCCTTTTGATGGACTCCCGCTCCGGTCTTCCGTTTTAGAAACAAAGCGAAGGCGCCGCAGTCAGTTTCTACTGGCCAAAAACAGGATGGTACACAGAAAGCGCAAACGTCAATGAATTAACGGTGGCGACGGGCTTTCAGCGAGACGGGTTCTTTTTGCCCTCCAGAGGCAATCACCGCACAAACGGGCGCGGTGCTCTTTTGATACAATGTCCCGAGCGCATACCTCGTTCTTATCAGAACCGCCGAAAAGGGTCTCATCCTCTGGACGCGCAGCGCTGCAAGACAGGTACAGGAGCTGCTCTTGCGAGCCAGCCCACTGTCATCTGCAGACTCGCCACCCAGCCCCAAGTCTTGGACATTTGAAAGTTCAAATTGTTCTTTTTTCGAACATTAAGATTGAACAATTTGGGTAAATTAATTGCAGAATTTTCCGGTGTATGACCTAATCAAATTTAGGTTGCAACTCGCAACCTATTTTTCGTGACGCGTTAGTCAATGATAGAAATTTGAACGCATCCCATTTCCTTGAGGCTTTACTTGAGTGTACCAGAGCAATTGCCGAGCATTTTGCTTGAGCGTGGAGCATTTTCTGGAGCGGTTCAAGTCTAGTGGTTCCCACTGCACTGAAAGAAGGAAGGAAGGAAGGAAGGAAGGAGTAGACAGCTGTGATAAAATCTAACAACCCTCACTTGGCAGGTGGGGAAAAGCACCTTTTCACAAAAACATGCTGCGCTGTGACGCGCTACAGCTGTTTTCTTGTGTGGCCATGGCGGATGATTCCTCACACTCCAAGCGTCACATCTTTCAGTTCCCAAGTTCGGCACGGTTCGGGAGAAGGATCATAAAGGATTCACTTTAACCCTTTTAGGCCATGTGTGAAAGAAAATGATTCGCATTGATGTTCGCGTCCAAAGTTCCTACTGCAAGTTGACTGACACTTCCAATGGCAACGGGAAGCCTGATGAGGGACTGCTTTTGGGAAAGACCTTGTGCGACGCAACCAGGACTTGCTCCTTACGTTGCCTTATTGCGACCTGGAGGCAAGAATGCGCGCGGCACAGTGCACCGCAGCATCGCCTGTTGCGCACCGCAGTGGGCAGAGCTGTGCAACTTGAGTCTTGCTGTAGATTTACTTCGCTATAAGCAGTTGAGATTCTTGCAGGGCTGCCCAGATCCTGATCCGATTCCACCCGGCTACAAGAGAGTTGGAGAAAGTTTCACATGCGTGGATGGTTTCGTTGAGAACTCGGATTTGACGTTGAGATGATTTCTTTACCACTTCAGATTTGCAACCTAAACTCATAGAACTACGGTTTTTTTCACTGTGGGTTCTTGTTCCCCAAACAGTGTGTCCACTCTAGGGTTTCTCCAGGTAGTAGTTAAGGACGGGCGTTGGATTGAGGTGTTCGCGGCCGGGTCCGGCTAATTCGGTGCTATTTACTTTCGATTGCACCGGCTCGCAGAGTCTGCTGGGCGCGAGCGGATGCTCTGCGGGGCTGCGCTCTCGTTGTTGTGCCGCGCGCGTTTTCGACTTGGCGATCTTTTCGCGGCAGGCCCTTTATCTTTAAAGCCCCTGGACTTGCGAGCCACCCAGGAATCTGCCGATCTACAGGCGCACTCAAAATGCAAATCGCGCAGGCCATCCTACTAGCCTTCGCGTGATGTGAATCTTGACGCGCAGATTTCGTGGCGGGCGCACTACTTTGTAGACCTTGAAGCGCAGAACCCATCACCACCATCACCCCCCATCACTGCCATCATCATCACCACCACCACCACCATCACCATCACCACCTTCATCACCATTATTACCTTTCCCTGGATAAACACACTGTTTGGGGTCCGCCCGGATATTTTTTTGACCCTTTTCGAACGTCTCGGGTTCCTCTCTGACTCAGGTTGGGCAGGCTATCACGCAGTGTCGCCGGGAACCGGAAGACATGAGACAGGAGAGACATGGAGAGACGGAGAGAGGTAGGACAAGAGAAGGAAAACGGACCCCAAAAAGAAACAGATAAAAACAGAAAGGAGGAGGGGAGAAAGGGAAAAATAGAAACAGGAAAGGATTGAAGCAACACCAAGTTTTGGAAGAATGTTGGGTGAAACGAGTGGAAAAGACGAAAAATGTAAAGCGATGTAAAGAGTCTGCTCACGCTGCAAAGAGTGAGGTGAATCCGCAGCCTGCAAGTACACCCTGTCCTTGAGCGGTGCGCTTTGAAGTGCAACTTTAAGACCGGAAGGAACTTCGTAAAGAAGGGTCTTCTCAAAGAGTGTTTTTTCTATGTTTTTCTTGTTTCTATCTCCCGTCCCTTCTCATCCACTCGAATCCACTAGTTCTCTCCATCCCATTCCAAACAGGGGACGCAGCGAGACTCCGAAGAGACGGACATAGGGAAACGAAGTGAAATGCTAGCCCTACAATGGAGCACAGGGATCTCACTTCGAACGCGGTAGGACTTGCAGTTCCATTGCGAGGGAGTGTCAGGATCAGAGGTTGTGAAACGCAGTGGCAAGGCTGTGCCGCCCAGATCCAGTCTGGAAAGATTTGGACAGGAATCTGTCCTTGCAAAACACAACGGCAGGGCTCCGCAATTCCAAAAGCATTGATAAGCGGTGTTTTCTAGAGCAGGTATCCCCAAGTGGACAAATTCTAATGATAAGAATCCACAGTAGAGCTATCTAGAGACAAATGTTCAAAAACATAACTTTCTTGGCGAAAGTATCCAGACGTAGAGATGTTCTGCGTTTTTTTTCCAAAAACAACCAAACCCACACATGCTTTGCAAAAACTTTCCAAGAGCAGCGATATCCAGTCACATGTATATGCAGATGTTCACCCATCTACATGACCCAGCTACATTTCCCCACATCACAAACCACATTACACTTCACCACACCAGGCATCATCACGTGACCCTTTGTTACCGTGTCAGAGAAGAGGACATTGAGGAACATGAACAAACTGTGAGAAGCTAGTAGCATTGGAACCAAAAGACTTTTATATCGAGAAGGCAATCAAAAAGGTGCTTCATTTTTGTGCCGCAACGCTGACTGCTTGAAACTCACAAGTTTGATTGTGTTGTTTCCAGAGTTTGCCAGGTTGCACCAACGCCACGGAGATGTTTGTGTCATTGACGCAACTTCGAGAGGCTGAAGTGGTGCGATTTGTAGGAACGGAAAGAGGTGGAGATATGGAACCTCCTTTTAATACAAGAAACTGTGAATCGATTTACACAAGAGATATTTGATGGGTATAGCAAGTGAGAAGATGATGTAACAACATGAGCTTAGCACTCTTCAAATTACAATAGCACAAGTCTATTGATAGTGACATTGACATATCATTGACATATATAAATGATGAAGGAAGTAAGGACTGCTGTAAGTACGAAAGCCAGGCGAAGGCTAGGCTGAAGGTTTGTATAGCGAACGAAGTGAGATTGGGGGTGTGGAAGGGGTGGAAGGGTGAACCCAGAGCCTGCTGGGGGAGAGCAAAAAATGCCGCGGTCGAATTATACCCTTACCACCGCCTTTGTGACGCGAGCATTCCCGCAACAGTTAAGGTTGGGTTTTGCATCCATTGGTGTGACATAAATTTTAACTTAGCGCGTGCCGTGTATGTTAGTAGGGTCAAGCCATGCGGGAAAGAAGCTAAAGCATGGTGAATAGCTACGTTTCGCAACGGAGCTTGATGGGAAAGCAGCGTGAAATACAATGTTCTTGAACGCGGAAGTTGGTGAAGCTGCATCAATAGCTGAGGCCAGAAAGATACTCTTGAAAAAGTGCTCTAGCACCAAGTTCCCCTCAGAAAAGACCTTAAGGAAGAGTTTGTGTTGGCGCCCTTTTGCGCTTTGTTTGAAGGCCGTCTGAGGGGTCAAAACGGGCACCAACGAAAAGCAGGATCTAGCAATGAGATCCTTGACAAAACAAAGCACGACAGATCCATCTTCAGGCTGTTTAAATAAAACCCGCGAGCCGTTGCTCGAGATGAATTGAGGATGCAGGTGAGGAAAGAGGCTGCGAACAATAGAGATCTAGATGCAGAGTGTCGAAGGAACGCCTTTTAGCCGCATTTCTAGGTTGGTGCCCTTTTGCGCTTTGTTTGAAGACCATCCCGGGGCAAAACAAGGTGAGCCCGAGAACCCAAAAGCAAAACAGGAGCACGCTGTTTTTTTCTGAGCGGTTGGTGAAGCCTGCATGCGGGCGCCGGCGCGGGAGTACCAAGCAGAACGTCCACGCCAGGAAGCAGCAAGAAAGCTGAAAATATCAAAAGGGAAAGAAACCCAACATAAATGAAGTGAAGTGAATATGAAGGTTAATTACTATGAGGAAAAGAGAATAATCTCGCAGCCAGACATGTTTTGCATCGTTGTTCGCAAGTTGAGGGTCCAGTTTGTTAGTTAGTGTTTCCTGTTTTTTGCGGGTGCACACTGTCTCAAACTCATGTAGAACTCGCCCGACCGTGCACTTGATCTTGCAAACCATTTTTGTTTCATGCCATGTGTTCGTGATGGGTCGTTTGAAGTTTGAGGGGTGGGAAATTGCCACATAAATTCAAATTTATGTGGTAGGAAGAGTTTGTCCTGATATTGTTTTAGAACTTAATTTTTGTGTTCCTGGCTGTTGGTGTTCCAAAAGGGTTTGTGAAATCAATAGAAATCTTGAGTTTGGCCAGCTCTGGTTTCAAATGTATTCTACTAGAGCCTTGAGATCAATATAACGTTGTTAAAAGTTTGATTGTAATCAATATCGGATGTTCAGGAGCATGTCTTATTTGTCTTGAACTTTCCGCTTTCTTAAACTAATCCAGCACATTTCCAGAGTTTCAGGAAATTCTTCCACTACGTGTTCTCTCAGCCGCAAGGCGTCCACAGTGATTCCTAGTACCCTGATCCTCTTGGAAAAACAACCAGAACATACCAGAACCCAAGCATCAGAGATGCTTTTGGGAAAAGACCGCTTTAGCTATAAGACGCACCAAGCAGGGCGTGGCAGATCCATCTCAGAGCAGTTTAAAGGAACTTGCGCGCAAAGTTTGTATTTTGGGGGGGTGTTGCGGTTTGCTGGTAGGTGGCCATGGGAGTCTCGCCGCGTTTGCGCGCTTCATCAGCGTTTTCCCTTCTTTCTTTTTCTCAGACATTTTCCTGTTTCTTTTAACGATTGCCTTTATTCCTTGAACGCTCTTTTGGACACGTGCTGCTCAAGCCGGAAAACTCGTAGAGTTCCACATCTTGGGAATTGTTGCTCACCCTTGCTCTCCCGTCTTGTGTCAACCACAAAATCTGTTGAAAAAACGCATGTTCGAAAAAACAAAATGGTTTTCTTCGTGACGTGATGTTCGAACGGAGGTTCTTTCTGACCGTTTTTCTCGCATCCTTCGTTTTTTTTTGCCATGTTTGGATGTTTTAGATGGTTGCTTTTTGAACATTTCCTGTTTACTGTTTTGTTAGTTTTTCCATGTTTTCCTTTTGCAGGTTGTTGTTTGATTGTCCTTTCTTTTGACGTGTTTTTATGCGTTCTTCAGACCGTGTTTGTCTCTTTGACCCGTTGAAAGGCATGCTTGTGTTCTTGGACCATTTGTTGAGGCCTTTTCTATGCCTTTTTTCAGACATGTTCTTTTAATTGTCTTTATATAGATGCATCGTTAAAGCTGTTTTTGACCTTGCTTCCCCTTTCACATGTGTTCTTTTGACCCTGTGTTCTTGTAGCGCTTGAGTCTTATGGTGCTCGAATTTGTTTTGGCGAGAGTTCGCAAAAGCGTAGCGCATGGCGCCGCTCATGGCGCCAGGCCCCTGCTCAACGAGACTTCTCACTGTGCCCAACAGCAGAGGCGCGCAGTTTGCCCAGAGAACGAACATGCAAAGAACATATTAATCATGGTGCTTCATCACACGTCGTGGCCCGTGTGTTGTACATTGCTGAGCTGTGTGGGTGTGTTGGTGCTTTTTGTTGGCCCATGCCCTTCCGAAGGCTTGCGGAGAACCAAATGAAATCCCCGAAGGTTACGACAAGGCGAGGTAAGAACGATGAAGGAGTGTGAAACACGGTGAAGGGTAAGTTTAGCTACAACACGCTACAACCAACTTCAGGGAACCTCTGAGCAATTTTCAATGCTGTGAGCCGAACCACAAGGTGTCAGGGTTTTCAATGAAGTCCAACGGATGTCCTTCTGAGCAAACATTTCAGCAAATTTGAACATTTCTGGTTTCATGACATGCTTGCGTAGTTCTTGGGCGAATGGCGCTGTGGTGCCGGCTACGCAGGAGCCGCGGACAGGGCGGTTCCATATTGCAGTGCTTTCTGCGTGATTATGTTGGCGCCACAACGCGATTGGTGTTGCACGATTTCGTGTCCTTAAGTGCCGTTTGTTGTGGTTAGGTATTGTCAATAGGAACAAGAAGCTACTAGGGGCTCGTGGTCTTACTACTAGGAACAAGAAGCTATTAGGAGCTATTGTTGCAAAATGCTCTTAAGTGACGTTAATATTTTGTTGAGAAAACCACCGAGTTGAAATCCGTTGGTTCCTCGGGGATTCGGCTACTTGTGAAAGGGATTTACTCACACGGGGTGTCAAGGGAATGAACGCCTAAGTACATGTGGAAAAATCTAAACAAAAGAAAAGTATGAAGCTCCAAATCTTTTCGAAAAACTACATGTCTGAGGATAAGGACAGGAAAAATCTTTGCGCTTTCAAAGCTCCTGTGCTTCGCTTTGCGCAAGCAGATTCCAAAAGCATGTGTTCACAGGAACAGCTGCCATCGGGTGCTCTCCGCGACGGAATTGTCAGAGCACTGCAACACTCAGCGGCTGTGTGCCTTAGCATCGGCTGTTATTGGCCCAGTTTCGCTTCACAACGAAACAGCTCAGTCCAGTTTTGGACTTAGTTGCGTTTGGTGGAGGATTTTCTGTTCCTCGGTGCCGCTTTCTTCCAGGTGCCCATTGAGCCCTGCTTACCCATTATCCCTGGGCCAGAGGACTGTTACTCGACGCAAAGGAAAACGAGACATGAGACCAAGAGAAGAGGAAGGCAATAAGCCAATGAAGAGACCAAGCACTGTGAGCAAAAATGGTTCCGACTTTGCACACTTTTGAGGTCAGCTTTGTTCAACTGCATCAAAACTCTGACTTTGCGAATTGCATTCGACGTTCATATTCGGCGACTAGGTGATTTGAACGTGTCGGCCTGTCTCAACCTCGGAGCGGGTGCATGGACCATCACACCATGTCACACCTGTACGACATCGGATCGGATGTGAGACGCTTGGTGCCTTTCAAACATTGAAGCATCCTTTGTAACACATTTCTGGCGAACCACGGTTTGGAGCACTTATTGGAAGTTTGAGCGTTAATTGAGGGTATGTACACTTTTCAGGAGATATGAGCGCTTTTTGGTGTTGTAAATTCTAAAGCCTACTGGTTCCTGACCAGTGTCCTTATCAACCCTTGTGGGCCTTTGGGGGCCCTATGGACCGGGTGGAAGTCCTATATGACCTCTCTTAGTAATATGCGCAAATGAAACCACAAAGGTTTGGTTCCAACCTTCTGGGCGTGCTTTACAACAATTTGTCCAAAAAGGGTGTCCGCAACTTGGGCGCAAATTCCCGCAACCCGGGCGCAAGTTTAAAAACTTGCGAATTGTGTGTTTGTTAAATCTTTTATGTTGATACTGAAGATCAAAGAAAGGGGTTGCTGGCTGCCGCTTCGTAGTGTGTGAGCGTGTGTTGTGTGTGCGTGGGATGGATGCCAGCATGTGGCAGGGAATGGACTTGAAGACCACATGAGGTGGAATATCTGACTTTCAGTGGTACGCTTTTTCAAGGCATGAACGTTTTTTTTGATGATGTGCAGTTTTTTCTATCACTTTTTTCTGCTACGACGGAGGGTTCAGGTTTGTTTTGATGTGTTTTCTCGAAATCTAGCGAAGGGTTCCCGTTTAACTCCTTGAACGTATAGCGCGTTGCTTTCGTGTCCGCAAGCGTTGCAAGCGAACGAATGCGATCGATAAGGCCCTGCTGTTTGGGGGAAGCTTTTGTAGGTGGAAGCCTGAAGTGTCAGATCCATGTGAAATAGAGTCGAAACGTGACATGTTGAAGTGTGGGGTTCGCTGCGCGGGCGCAGCGTTCATGATGTTGTGGATGGAACACGCAGTTCAATTTGCATGTCACCTGAACATGTCACAAACCTCAGGGCACACAGCTGCCTTTTGAAGCTCAAGTCGAAGCAAGAAAAGGGGCGAGGTCCGAGCGCCATAGCACTACCAGTGACGCTTACTTAGCCAAGGTGCTTGGGGTTTGAGCAGGATTGATCAGGTTATGAGCCCAAATTGCTAGCTGCGGTCGACGTTCCAGCCAAGGCGAAGAAGACTCGCCACACCAGAAGAGCCCAGCCAAGGTCAAAGAGAGATCGAAGCTGTGAGCAAAGAGTGGAAAAGGAAGCCAAACAGAGGGGTGAGGCTGTGTGCGCCACTCCAATCCTATAGGCCTATAGGGACTTCCACCATTTCTCTTTCTAATTTATTGCGCGTCAATCGCACAAGGGGTGCCAGAGACTGTGCAAGCCTGGCGCTAACAAAGACGCTTGCGCAGTTGTGATGAATTAATTCTGAGATATCAATTCAGGACGCCGAGTTGACGTACCTGCGAGATGATCGTCGATGTGCAAATTGGGTGTGGTTTTCCATTTCTGACGAACATTTCTGGGGCTTCGGGTCTTAGTTGCTAGGTCGTAAGGTGTTAATGCACTCTTGGAGCCAACCAGAATCGTGCTCTTACGGACTCTTTTTCGAATGCGGTTCGTGGGTTCCATCTTGTTGTTTTAATAGCCCGCACTTTTCACTTGTGCAGGCACCTACTTCATCAAGTAAGGGCTAAGTTAGATCCTAGGTAGGCCGCAGAGTGCTCACGTTTCTTCAAAGAAGCTCCCCCTTGTACTAATCACTGGCCTTTTGGTTCCTAGTTTTTTGGAAACTTTGGTTTTCGTCCCAATTCATTGTTCAATTTACCCATAGTGAAAAATTATAACCCGGAAAATATGTGTTTTATTTAGACAATGTGTTCGTTGAAAATGTTTTTGCGTTTTTGTCGCTTGACCTGTTTTCTTGTTTTTTTGCCGTTCAACTCATATCACCCATCGGCCCAGATGCGTTTAAGGGTTTGGAGAAGTGTGGGTCGAAAACGGTTGGCGCAAATGCTGCGCTGCTACATGCCCTGGTGAGGCAAGCATGGTCTAGAAACATGTTCAGTTCGTGGGTGCTCGCACATTTGGTTTCTTTATTACCACGAAACAACTGTTCACTGTCACACCTGAAAACAACACGACATAGAAAATGTTTGCACCTCAGCCAAACACAAGGTGCCGAAATGGCGTCCAGTTCACTCAGCAAAGCCGAGGTCAAAGCGTTTTGGGTGGAGAGAGTTGCGAAATCAGTTGCAAGGACCCACAATTGAACTTCGATCCATGCAACAAAACAACTTAAATGAGGATGTTGTGACAGTGCTGCGCATGTTGGCGACTAGCAATCAGGCGGTTAAAACTGTTGAAAGCGAAAGATGTTGCAAGCATTAAATAGACATTTCAATCGTCCGTGAGCTGTTCACACAAAGTGAGAACGAAAGGCGCTAGTTTAATCGTTATTATGCTGTTTATCAGTTTCTTTGGTCAGGATGCTACTAGGGGTTCCCGGCTTTACTACTAGGAAAAAGAAGCTACTACGGGCTCCTGGCATCGCTACTGGGAGCAAGGACGCCACCAGGGGCTCCTGGCCTCACTAGTGGGAGCAAGTAGCTCCTAGTAACAAGAAACTACTAGGGGCTCCTGAGCGTCGCAGCCACAGCAGTGAACTACTCGTTATAACATGTTTTTTTCACTCCAAGGACGCTACTAGGGGCTCCTGGCATCGCTACTAGGGGCTCCTGGCCTTACTACTAGGAACACAAAGTGAGAACGAAAGCCACTAGTTTTATTCGTTTTTATTTGGTTTCGTTTTTTTTGGTCGCTGCGCTCGCTTTGAGGATCCACCCTACCGCGGAGCGTCCACCATCGCCACTTGCCCGGAGGGCAACATCAACACGTCTCAAGTGTTGCCGGGCCGCCCAGTGTCCCACTCCACAACGACGCTATTTCAGCTTAGGATTCACTTGTTTTTCAGTGTGAAATGCTGTGACCTGTGCTTGGGCTGTCTGAAAAATATTTCGACAGCTCTCCACATGTGGACACCTCTTGTAGTTTTCTTGAGATGTCTCCATTTCTCTAATACTTTTTGGCACTCGTCTCCAGAAGTCTTGACTTTCTGGCACTTTTGAAGGTGCTGTAAACAACGTTTTAGCGCCACTGGGCTCTCACCTTTTGTTTGTTTCTAGCAAGGCACCTTGCTACTAGTCATAAGGCACCTTGTTACTAGTAGCGATGCACTTGTTACTAGTAGCTTCTTGTTCCTAGTAGTAAGGCCAGGAACCCCTAGTAGCGTCCTTGCTCCTAGTAGTGCCACGGGATCACTTGAAAGATCTTCGAAGTGCCTTTCCAGAGAGCCAGCTGGTGACCATTTTGTGGTTAAGTCCTGAAAGTGGACTGAGATGGTAGCGTGTTTTCATCTGAACGTTTTGTTTGTACATTGCTTCTAGGTTGCAGGACGTCATTGCTTTTAGGTTGGAGGCCATTGCTTTTAGGTTGGACGCCATTGCTTCTAGGTTGCAGGCCATTGCTTTTAGGTTAGAGGCCTTTGCTTCTAGGTTGCAGGCCATTGCTTCTGAGTTAACGCCATTGCTTCTAGGTTGGACGCCATTGCTTCTAGGTTGGAGGCCTTTGCTTCTAGGTTGGAGGCCATTGCTATTGATCTCGGTCCTGGGTCAAAAGAGATCTCTCGAATCTTTTCACTTTTGATTCACGTGCCCACTGTGATCTCACTTTGGCATCTTCCGTGGCCGTTTGAGGACCTGGACACGGCCAAAATGTGAGCTGACGAATTGTGGCAAGCTTGACAAGCTGTGTTTGTGGCGAACGAGCTGCCAGAGTTCGACAGAAAGCTGTGCTGGCGTTCAATTCAAGTCATGCGTGAAACTGAGGCATCCAACGCGTGGACATCCCTGATGGCTATGTGAAGGAAAGAGTTCAGACAGTTCTGCTGTTGTGCTTTTTTTGACTACATCATTCTGCTTTGTCATTTTTGTACAGATTCCAAGACAATTGTGTAACAGCTCTTTTTTTGCGTCCCTAACTAAACGCACCTTCATGGATATTTGGCTACGGCCCTGTCAGGACAGCGTACAGAAGTGGATTTGCGCACCTGGGTACATTGGCACACCCAACGTGGAGTGCAAAATCAATGTGACCACGGACGACTGTGAGGCGAAAGATGTTTGTGTTGAAGGACTGAGAGTAAGGATGCTCCTAGTAGTACGGCCAGGAGCCCCTAGTAGCTAAGAGGACTGATGACAAAAACAAAAACGACGCAGAATTTGTTGGACTCATCCTGTCGAACGCTTCATATGAGGCGTATTGCTTGTATGAAGGCTGCTTCCCGGAGGTCAATTGCCACTTGTCCTTCGTACCAAAAAAGCAGCATCCTTCCTCCTAGTAGCAATGCCCTTTGTTCCTAGTAGCTTCTTGTTCCTAGTAAGGCCAGGAGCCGCTTGTAAAAAGGCAAAAGCAGACATTGCTATTGTGTTTTCATAGCGTTTTCTCTTCTCCGGACGGAGTAAGGTACAGTGCCAGCTGTGGATGCCTGTCGTTTGAATTTCACCGAGTGCCATGGGATCCTGTCACAGCCCTAGAGAAAGGGTTCTCCGTAAAGAACAGCTACCACCTTCAACTGTTCAACTATAATCTTCATCATCATCATCATCAACATAGATGGATAGTCTCATCACTGTCATCGTCATCATCATCATCATCATCATCATCATCATCATATTATGAAGTTGCAGAGATGCAGGTGGTTGAAAGGATTGCCAAGCGTTATCATCATCAAGTGCGTGGAGGAAGGGGAAGCACCAGTTTTATCGCATCTACATAGATACATGATACAGGTTTCTGGATTCAGGTACTGAGACACAGGTGTGGAAATACAGGTGTGCAGACACACATGTGTTGAGATACAGGTGTTGAATGGTGTTGAGATATAGGTGAAGACACCTACAAAATTCACCTACACAACTGCAACTTCGACGTCTTTATAAATACTCTTAAGGCGGCGGGGCGGCCCGGCCGATGCTCACGAAATGCGACGACCCTCTGCGGGAACCACACGCGTCGAGCGCTCAAACCTGAGGTGAAATGCGAGTTCTGTTGCGCTTGGGAGACCTCTCCACAGTATTTGACTGTCGTCAACATTGAAGGTGGAAGTGGCCAAATTTATATAACAACGAAGGTGGAGGTTGCCAACGTGCGCGACTGACTGCCGTCGAAATGTAAAGTTTGTCGTACAGGAAGCAGCTTTGGGAGGTGTGGCCTGACAGCTGCTAACTTTGTAGTACGAATGTAGTGCGGCCAGCAGCTTCTGGGAGCTGTGGCCTCAGAACTGGCCAAGTTGTAGTGCAAACGCAGTCTGGGAATTTTGTAGTGCCAACGCAGTGCAGGGACCAGTTTCTGAGAGGTGCAGCCTTAGAATTGGCAACTTTTTAGGACGGGAAGCAGCTTCCAAGAGGCTTGGTGTTACATTGCTGTATCGAAATAATGTTTGCGCGGCATCGGTGGAAAGCCCGTTTGCTTGGCTCCGTGCTGGGGATAACACGGTGTAAGTGCCTATAGGGGCCAAAGGGCCGTGATTATCACGATTATCACCATCAGCCTCATCAACATCATGTTTGTCAATGCTCGTCCTCATTATTGCGTTCTGTCATCTCCCGCTGTGTTTTCGGGTCACCCTGTCGTTTAGTTGTTCTCTACTTGTTGAATTGGTTTGTTTTTGTCGTTTTCAAAGTTGCTTCGCAGACGAACCCGCGGTTGAACCTCACGTCCACACCGAGGCCAAATCGCAGCTGCAGAGTCACCTGTGCCAGCGCCCCAAATTTGGATGTTCACTTAAAGCCGTCTCATTCAAACCAGGTTCTTCAAGGAAGGCGGAAAAATGTGTTTTTGATGTAGCAGTGTCCTTTTTGGCTAAGATACACTTGTCTGTTGATAATTAGCAGCTACTTTTCTTAGCCATAAGGGTTCTTGTTGGCGAGCGTGCGCAAACATCCTGGCCAGCTGCCGGCCGGGCCGAAAGAGGAATGGAAACTATCCGAATCGCTGCCCCTCCTAGGCGTCAACTGGGGGGGTCGGCGGATTTAAGTTGGAGAAACTGATGCTGTGAGGCCTTTCCATACCTTGGTCAAGCCAGCCAAGCCTGGTGCGTCATGCTTGGAACTCAGAGAGACATGGTGAGACTGTAGGACACCAAACTGAGACGTCGTGTCATTGTGTGCGACAGACTCCGGACGCGGTGAGGATGGGCAATGCTCCGCGCCTCAACTGGACTGAACCCAACTGCCAATGTCGGGGTGCCCAGAGGAAGCAAGGATGGACCCGAACGGAGCTACTATAGGGCATCGCTACGAACGGAACAAGAAGCTACTAGGAACAAGTGCATCGCTTCTAGTAACAAGTGCCTTACTAGTAACAAGAAGCAAGTGCATCGCTTCTAGTAACAAGTGCCTTACTAGTAACAAGAAGCTACTAGTAACAAGTGCATCGCTTCTAGTAACAAGTGCCTCACTAGTAGTAACAAGCAGCTACTAGGAACAAGTGCGTCGCTTCTAGTAACAAGTGCCTTACTAGTAGTAACAAGAAGCTAGTAGGAACAAGTGCATCGCTTCTAGTAACAAGTGCCTTACTAGTAGTAACAAGAAGCTGCCAGGAACAAGTGCATCGCTTCTAGAAACAAGTGCCTTACTAGTACTAACAAGAAGCTACTAGGAACAAGTGCATCGCTTCTAGAAACAAGTGCCTTACTACTAACAAGTGCATCGTTTCTAGTAACAAGTGCCTTACTAGTAACAAGAAGCTACTAGGAACAAGTGCATCGCTTCTAGTAACAAGTGCCTCACTAGTAGTAACAAGAAGCTGCCAGGAACAAGTGCATCGCTTCTAGTAACAAGTGCCTTACTACTAACAAGAAGCTACTAGGAACAAGTGCATCGCTTCTAGTAACAAGTGCCTTACTAGTGACAAGAAGCTACTAGGAACAAGAAAGTAATTAGAATTAAAAGTAATTAAGTTTAGTAATTTGAATAGTTAAAGTGACTAGTAACAAAGGGCATGGAAGGACGGACCCGAACGGAGCTACTATAAGGCATCGCTACGAACGGAACAAGAAGCTACTGGCAACAAAGGGCATTCCTACTAGGAGCAAGGACGCTACGAACGGGGCTCCTGGCCCTAGTAACGCCTGGAGGTGAAAGAATCAAGTTGGAACTTTGGCCTTGTTTGGCACGTGAAAGAGAAGATGCAGAAAAGGACAACCAGACAAGTGGTTTTGAGAATATGAAACAAAACACAAGTAACAAGGAAAGCACACCAGTTGCAAGGTTGTGTTTTTCACGCAGGTCTAGCCAAACATCTTCCAGCGCCTTACTGCATGGATGGCTTCACAAACGAGAAAGAACGACAGACTGCTCTGATAAGATAACAGGTGATTGTAGGGCCCAACCTTCCTTTGGTGAACTCAGTCTTTGGTCCCATGTGCCTTTTATCTGTCGGTTCTTGGGGTCCCTTGGCAATGCCTGATGAGAATAGGCGGCTAATAGTTGAACCACGTGGATATGTCCACCACTTTATAACGTTCATCAGGCATGAGATCTACCATGATCTACCACCTGCACACTATCATTAAGAACAAAACCGCACTGTTTGCGTCAAATGTTGACGTGTTGAATTGTTTTCTGTTTTCCATAATGTTCAAATGATTTCTTCATCGAACTTGTTTTCCCGAGGCCCAGAAGTCCCAGCGTCTGCCGGGTGCGCAGATAGGCGGAAGAAAAAAGATAGAGAAAGGGAAGAAAGTTTTACGAAAGAGAGAGAGGGGGAGAGAAAAGCCAACAAACTTGCGATGGCCTCCAACCTAAAATCGATGGCCACTTGCGCGATGGTCTCCAACCTGAAACTGATGGCCTCCAACTTAAGAGCATCCAATCTACTTGCGATGGTCTCCAATCTACTTGCGATGGTCTCCAA